GAGCTTCTGGAGGGCAGCAGAGCGAAAGAGCAAGGATGACAAGAGGCAGCCAGGTAAGGTCCGGAGCTGGTAACTTCTTAGTCCCATTTACATCAACTCTAACTGCATATGCCTGACCAGACATTTAGCAGCTGGTTTCATTAAACACGACATTTGATACGGTTTAATGGATAGTCATACACCTAGGCACACAGAATGACATATGCAGAAGAGAGAGTGCTGCATCAAGTCACAAATCTAGTTCCAGAAACTGAATTCACCATGATAATTTAGGTACCTCTCTGAAACCCAGGAGCCGAGTGTCCCTGGACACAGTCTATGGCAGCTTCCTGGTGACATGAAAGGTCATTTTTGGTGCAATAGTGTACCTGTAAGACCAGGAAATGGGACACTTGGGTTGTAGATTTTTCAGCTCCAAGGTTTTGCTCCATTGATCCCGGTGTCCAGGAAGGTGTACTAATCTGCCAGTTTGAGATGGGTCATTCTGCAACCTCCCTATGTAACCGGGATCACTGTGCACGCAGGAAGGAATATGGCAATCATGGGGACTAACAAAAGACTCATCATGGTGTAACTTCTGATTACTCGTGAGCTTGCTTATAGAGATGTTGCACTGGCAGGAAGGAAACTTCAGTTTGGTCAAACCTCAGCATGACTTTTAGATGTTTTTTATCTAAAGATTATTTAATATCAAATTCATAGGCATCCCTGAAAGAGGGGTCGAAGCGAGTGTCCTGTTTCCCACGCTCAGCCCTAAATAGAGAGGAGGATACCACTCCAGCCAAAAGCGCTAAACAAAACCATTGCTGGTTGGGAGAGCTTTCTGCGATGCAGGAAAGAATTTAAAACTCTTTGGGAGACTTAAGAATCCAGGACTTCAACTTCGTGAGCTAGTATGAAAGGTATCCTCTTTTATCGGCTATTGCTTATACACATTTAGCATCAAAGAATCCTTCAGGGTGGAAGCAACCTCAGGAGGTCTCTAGTTCAACCTCCTGCTCAAAGCAGGGTCAGCTCTGAAGTCAGATCACGTTGCTCGATGCGTTATGCAGTTCAAGTCTTGAAAATGTCCACGGATGGAGCCTGCACAACGTCTCTGGGCAACCTGTTCCTCTGCTTGACTGTCCGCATGGTGAAAAAGCTTTTCCTTGTAGCCAGGTTAAACCTCTCTTGTTTCAACTTATACCCATTTTCTTGGTCCTCCCACCACGTACCACTGTGAAGATCCTGACTATCTTTTTCGTAACATCCTTGCAGGTACTGGAAGGCAGCTATTAAATCCGCTGTAAGCCTTCTCTTCTGCAAGTTCAACAAGACCAGTCTCCTCAGCTTCTCACAGGGAGATATCTCCTGTTAGTCCCGTAACCATCTTAGTGGCCCCTCCACTGAGCTCACTCCAGTTTGTTAGAGTCTTTCCTGTATCTGGGGGTCCAAAACTGGATGCGGACTAACAAGTGCTGAGGGGGATAATCACTTCCCTCCTTCCACTGGCTGTGCTCCTGTTAATACAGCCCAGATGTTGTTGGCCTTCTTTGCTGCCCAGGCACACTGCTGGCTCATATTCCCTCCGAGGACCAAAAACCACACAGACGCTAAGCAAGCTGGTATAACCCAAATACTCTGGTGGGAAAGACACCAAGATGAAGCATGTAGGTACACAAAAGAGTGCGACTATAAGCACTGAAGCTTGATGTCAAAAGCAGGCTCCTGAAGTGCCCAGGAGGGTTGTTACTGACAGTTTTGTTAGAGATGCATAAAATTGACTGGAAAATAGCGTGTTTATGTTCCTTAGATCTGACCTCAAAACACAAGAAAATATTTCTTTTAAAGGTCATGATCCTCTTTGTATAGTGAAACTTTTATATGCAGTTTATTGACTAAAGATGTCTTTTAATACAAAGCTTAAAAAACAACTTAGTGTTCCCTTGCTATCAGCTACTGTAAAATTGATTTTGTCAGATAACTAGCAACTTGAAAATATTAAAAAAATGGGGAATTCAAAGCTAGAGGTGCCTCCCTGGAAGATATGTTACTCTGGTCACAAGTCACTGGGCTCAACACAGAGGTCAGTGTGCACGATTCTACAGCCTGTGATAAACTGTACGTCACAAAACATCAACTGGTCTGGTCTGAAACCTTTAAAGTCTATAAACTACAAAAAAGCCATAGAATATATTTGTATGCCTTACGACAGAGAAAATTCAAGATCTTACCTAACAAACACAAAATTGCAAACTTGCATTTTGCTGCATCTTGAAAAACATTGTAATGGAGAACATTTAATCAACAGAAGGTAAAGAATCACAGCGCAAACCTGAATTACATTACTTATGCTTGCAGAATACTAATATTTTATACCTTCTGGTCATGTTAATACCGTATATTAGATTTGAGCCCTGAAAGCTGCTCAAAGGAAGAAAGAAGTGAGATTTATGAAACTTTTCCAAGATGATTTATATTAATCATCTCTGCCCACTCCTAGCACACTACATAATATTAAATGCTTCATAATACAGCTTGTTTCCTCCTCCCTCTCTGTTTAAAGATGGAATCCAGGAAAATGTCAAAAATGATTCTTTAAATATTCTTATCAGGTATACTTTAAAATGTTTATCTTAGACATTGTTAAAACATATGCGCAGGTATCTCAAATTATATTACAGCCCAAAGTAAACTCTCCAAATCTAGACAGATAATAACTTTTTTGTTCTAACAGAGAAATTTTACCCTAAAGAGACAAATGCACAGCTCCTACTGATTTCAATGTACATTATACACATGTCGCTGAGGGCATAAGACATTTCCCTCCTACAGAGCAAAGTATTTGATTTCTCACGTCAATTCATCACAAACCTGAGTGGAGGTCTTGGTGTGCATCAAATAATTTTTGAAATTTTTCCTCTGCTTTCAAAGCCCGAATAGTCCAAAGTCCCTGGAGAGATGACGACAAGTGGGAGAACACTGGACTTCGAGCTACAAAGGGAAATGAGAGTAACTTAGCAATAGCTGAAGGACTACATTTAATTCTTTTTGTACCACACTAATCTTTAATCCTACTACTTTATATTTAACTATACAAGTTACTGTAATGCATCCTTTTAGAACAAGTATGTGATGTCTTTAACCAAAGTCCTCCTACTCAATTAGAATCAGTCAGACAGACAGGCAGATTAATTTATACAAAAATGTCTTATGGTTTTAACAATAACTGTCACTGAAGAAAGTCTTTGAGCTTTATTAATGACATGAGGCACCCATGTTTGTTATTCATAATGCTTAATATTTCATATCATAGTCAAGCTAAAGTCAGGCACAAGAGTCAGATTAGGTCAGAAACACCATTAGTATGTGCATGCAAGGTCCCAAAGACCAGCAACTTAGCATCTTCTTAACTAGCTTTACTTACAGATAGTTAAACTGACATCCCTAAGGTTTATCATTATGCAAAAAAGGAGTTAAGTATGTAATTCACTACTTGAGAACCAAGGCAATAAGGAAGTTATTTGCATAGCAAAAGAAAAAAATCTTTGATGGATTGTCTATAAAATACTACCATTTTACATAATAATAAGCAGGGTTCAAACTAACATTAAGTCCCGCCAAACTACATACTTGTGGATTCTAGACGTTTAATATCTCTTGAAGTGTCTAAGAAATACCGTCGAAGAAAAATGAAAAGAATAAATAGTGGAATTAAGGGGATGAGTATCCAAGGAATCACTGCCACAGCCACAGCCACCACACCAAAAATCTGTAGGAGAGTCTGCAACACAATAGAAACAAAATAAAAAACTCTTTTCCAGAAGAATTTAATTCAGAACAAGTATAAAACTATTTAACACTACTGAAACACTTAAATATTTAAACGTAACTACCGAATTTAAGAGAGGATGCATTGTATAACATACGAGCGACATCTATTTTTAAGCAATTTGAAGAAATTACAGTAATACCTAATTTGACTAATTGTGCAGTTTATGGTTTTCTTCTCTATTATTTGTTCTTTAAGAAATGTCTTTACAACATTGGTTGACTGAACATTAGTGTCTTCCTTTGTGGACTATTCTGTGACTGCTGTAACAAAATAATAGACGATTAATGAAATAGACAACTAATCTTTAATGGATCCAAGCTATATGGTGAATCAGGGATATGTGTTTTCACTCCAGGTAAAAAGAAACTGGTGAAAGACTGGCTTTCAGCTGAATGACTTGATAGCCGGAAGACAGACTTTCAACACAGACTTGTAACTTTTTTCCTAAAAACAACTTTGTCCCATTTAAACAGAAAACCCAAGATCAGAGAAAGTGAGCTTTCTCTTCCCAAAGGATTGCATTGGGACAGTTACAAATAAGACAAAAACATGAAACGCTGCAAGAAGTGTCACAAGAGGCTCATTTTAGCAGGTTTACTTTAGAGTACGAGACGAACAGCTAGGCTAAACCTGAACTTACTCTTAGAAAACTAGATATAATGTGGAATGAAGCTTTCTTGCTTAGGACAGTGGATCCCGGCCCAACTTTCTGAGTTAAATCTCACATTTCCTGCAGACCACTTCACATCCTTCACAACAAACTTTCAGTTTGAATACACTATGAGAAGCAGTATCTGCACACAAATTGCTTTCAGAACACCAGCTGTGTATGTATGTATTCATGCCAGAAGTCCTGGCATACTGAAATCAGGGTGTGTCCATCTGCTCCTTAAAAAAGGGGAAAAAAACCCCAAAAACCAACATACAAAAAGAAACCCACCCTGTACAAAAACCAGACAACTGAAATTCTAGCTCAACACTAAATTCCTGTATTATATTCATTAACAAATTCCTTAGAAATGACAGTATTTTCTAAAATGTCTCCATTTTATGGACTGTAGGGGAGCCGCCTTCTTCATCATCACATACAACACGCAAGCAGATTGCAGCTGAACTTTGTGGCTGCCTGATTTTTGGATGCCAAAAATTCATTAGTGACCACTGGGTCCTGAGAATGTGTGTCTTACAGCAAAAAGGCTTCCGTCCCTTTATCTGTGCATCAGGCTGGAAAAGTTCAGCAACATGTCAGCTAAGGTCGGATACCAGAGAGCTACCTGGATTTTCAAACACTTTCAATGGAAGTGCCTATGAAACATTGCATTTCCTGTTGCGCTTTTGGTGGCCCCCACACACACACATGCTCTAAAGCCAAAACCCAGCACAACCTTTTCCCCTACATCTGTTTTTTCTTGAGGCTTCTCCGACTTTACCCTAATTTCACCTGACCAAACAGCAAACCCACACACCTTATGCATTACAACTGCATGAGTCAGCACAATTCAGTCTTCGGCTCTAGGCAAGATCTTAGCTCATGATAGAAGATTTATCAGCGTAGCAGCCCTGCATCTCACAGATCCTGAAAGCGCATTATAGGGTTTCATAAAATCTATTAAGGAAAATAGCTATAGGGTAGGTATGGGGTAGGAGCTCTGAAGGAAGCTGTATTACCACTACACTGCTCATCTGTGGGTTAAGGTGTTGACGGCATCATGTTGTTTGACCTTCTAGATACCTACAGTAGATTGCAAACATTTTACCTAGATTTCATCACGAGGCGGTACGGTGGCAGCGAGAGTGCACGGTATTTCACTTGGACCAATTATGCACACGGTTATGTCAGCACAAAGCAAAACAAAGCACCCTGATTCCTCACCAGCGCTGCCGTCAGCCCTTCTCTACCTTCTACTTCTCTGGCATTCTTTAAAACGCTGAAAGCGTATTTCATTTTTATCTTGGGATGAGAAGGGAAATAAAGATTCCTGACTTCCGCCAAATTTTCTCCTGTCTATATCACTGTTGTTCCCAGCACTGCTCATTGCCTCTTGCAAAGCCTGTCAGCCATCCATATGCTAGCTAATTTCTAAAGGCTCCCTCACCTCCATCCTCAATGGCAAACGGAGATCAAAGTCTGTTCCTTCCAACAACTCACTCCCAAATCTGCTTTATACACCTGCTGCCTTCCCCTTCTCCCTCCGCCACCTCCTAGACAGTCACAGAAAAGCAGTCTCTTCTGCCTCCTCATACCATCAGCTGCAAACCTGATGTGAAGCATTGAGGAAAGCTGCTTCAAGGAAAAGAATTCCCAGGAAAATAAAATGTTTCTTAACAAAAAAATAAAAAAAAGCCAAACTGAAGTTTTAGTGATGATAATCTACAACGTATTGCAAAGTGCCGGTGGGGGTGGGAGTGGGAGTAGAGCTATTAGGATCCAGCTCATGTAAACAAAGCCTTGCTATGGCGAAAATACAGGGAAGGAAAAGATGGTTAGGATGACTAAAGTAAAAATCCGACACCGCCTTTGGAAGGAATTTTAGATGAGCCTGCACCACCTTATCATTATAAAAATTTATGATAGGGTGGATCAGTCATGTGTGTTGTTTTTTTGGAAAACCAAACTTGCATATAAATTAACTCTTAATGAAGTAGTCTGAAAGCCAGACACAACCATTTGCAGACTGTAATCATGCAGTTACTGCGTGAGGTAAGGCAAAGGTTTTAGTTCCCAAGTTTCACAAGAGATAACTAACCTCTTCAGCTGGAGACTGCCCCAACTTCTAGTAGATTCACTGTGTGCAAGCAGGAGGACCCGAGACAATCAGTAGGCTGACGATAACGATAACACCAGCAGTCTGACTGCTCTCCTCTCTGGAGACAAGCAGTGAGCTAGCTATTCACTTTGCACAGCAAGAAACACTCAGGACTGGATATCTAGACCTGGTCTAGCAGGATCAGCTTACAACTGAAAATTTTAAGTATGCAAGATTTCTTTTACTGTATTTCTTAATTTTAGCATTTAAAAGTCTTCTGTGATGACCATGCAGAAAACAATAGCCAAATTTAAAAAAAATAGGAGCTGATTAATTACAGTTTATAGCTATTGCAGAGTATCGGAAACAAGGCCACCTTACACAAAAGACAACAGACGCACAGGCTACCGAGACTAAAGAGACCTGGATGGAGAAATCTAATTTGCTTCCATATGGAGCCATATTGTCCAACGTCCACCTTAAAACTTGCTTCAGTTTCCCTGGACAAAGAACAATCTCCCACTCACAGACCGCATGCACTCTATCCCTCGAGTACAGAAAAGCACATGCTCTTTCTGTTGGGAGTCATCCTGCTGCTTGCAAGAGTCCTGAGATATTTCCTTCATGCTTTGGTCAGTCACTCCATTCACTGTGGCTTATTTTTCCCCTCAAGAAATCTCCTGTCCTACTGTCTCGCTAGAGCAAGCATACCCTCCTATAACCCTCTGGGGTAGTGAATGCTCTGATCAGCACATTAACTTGCGAAACATGTGCTTTTTCTTCATCTTCTGATGACCTACATATTCGTAATTCTTATAGGTGCCGAGAGTGATATCCTAGAGTTTCTATCTCAAACAGGTCTTGATCTAGGAAGAAAAAGGTATTTCTGCACCACAACCACACAACAGAAAAGCATTTAATGCAAAGTAAAGCAACAATAAGAAAAAAACCCATAAAAATCTGGAAAGTGGGAATTACATACTATAAGCCATATATAAATCACAAGCTATATGCTTTTCCCTTTCTTGCAGAAACTATACCATTTATATAATGTTACAAATCTTACGACAAATTGTAAACTATTTGAAGTCATTTAATAAAGTTGACAGGACAAAATGCAAAAGCAAAATTTAGAGGGTTCAAGATGTCTCATAAGAATGTCTACCCTTCCATCCTATAGATCACTACCATTCCATATCAGTTACACCCTGAGCTCAATTTTTCATGTTTGGCTCAAGTACTTCTTTGAAAAAGGCACCCAGCCTTCACGTAGAGATGTTTTGAACCCCTCGGTCTGCTGACACTTTGTTCCAGTGGGGAGGTACCCTCACTTCTTAATCATTTATCTCCTTGTGAAAGTACCTATCAATCGCCTCTGTCTACTCTCTCATGAGCTGAGTAGAGTCAGATCTTTGAGGTCTTCCATCGTCTTCCGTCATTCAAAAATAAATTAAATTTTGCCTTTTTTTTTTTTTTTAAATGGACCTTACAATTTATTTCAGCATCTCTTAAAAAATATACGCATAAGGGGTACCATGCAGTTGTGTGTCTGTGTAAGTGCCTAGTGTGATGCATGACGCCAAGCTGGGTTTGACAGCTATGATATAGCAGTTACTACCATAAGAACCACACCGTTCTGGACTTGCAGCTGGTGACTTGGTAGGATCTCTAATGAGCGAGTGGAGCCCAAGGGAGGGGATTTGAGACTCAGAAACCTGAATGTGGGAGTCTACATGTGACCTGCATAGCAAAGCTCCTGTCCTATTTAGCTGAGTTTAGAAAGTCATTCAGCTAACCTTTCAGTGGATGCTTAGTTACCCTATAGTTGAATATTCTCGAGAGTCCACTAACTGTATTGACTAGATTCCCTCTGACTACAGCAAAGTAAGCATCTGAAGCCCAACCAGCAGATACCTAAATTGTAATGACTGAATCTGCAGTCAAAGCCCACCCAAGAACTGTGGTGTTCCAGGACCGGTTTTACCAATATTTAAGCAGAAGTCAAACACACCTCCCCCTTAGACTCCTACTCCCTGGACCCTAATATGCACTCCCAAGGATTATATTAGCTCATGGACACTGCCACGAAACCATACGAATTTAATAACAGCAACAGTGCATATCCTGCATATCCTGGATTTCAAGTTTGCAACCCTAACTACATTAACTTAGGGCACTTGCAGTCAGGCTGTGCTGTCTGAA